ACCCGATCTCATGCGCAACACTTCCTCTGCAGACTGCGACCGAGCAACAGAGAGACTACTCTGGCGTTAAGTGTACACTCGGTCATACCAGCACCACTGGACACTAAACAGAGTTTTTCAAATTTTTATACCAGTGATCCAACAGTAAATTCACACAAAGGTAGAAGTATTTAATGAAGAAGAAACACACATATAAAAACTTGTAAATATTTTCTTCTGTAAGATGCGCAGTATAACTGGAAACTAGAGGGGGACGGGATGGATGACATAACGATCTATAGAGCACGCTACAATTAGATGCCAGTGCATTAAGATACACAACAGAATGCCTTTCCCCGTGTAAGTGATTCCTATCTATAAAGCCCTGTTTCTGCAGTGACCCATACTGACTTCATTGTGGGCGCTTCGCAGATACAAGAAACCACCTATTCAAAGCAGCCTGCTATTGGGGATTTCTGGCTGTTACTACCAGTGTTCTTTTTTTTTAAAAATAAGTTTAAAGCTTATATTCTTGACAAGTTGGGAACTGATCTAGGTTAGGTTGCTCTTCTAATGAAAAAAGAACATTAATACTGAAAAACTAAATGCAGAGTTTATAGCTCATTAGCTAGGAACTTACGGAGTGTTTCATCCACTGTCACATAAAGCAGTCATTAAGAAATTATGGTTTCCATCCTGTCTCTGTTTCCGCAACACTGAACAATTGATAGTATCTGTGGCTTAACTAAAATGCTCTTTGCATTCTCTCCACAAATGGCATATATAATGGTTTATGTAAACCAAACTTCAATTTGTCTCTATTCTTTCTGAAATTCATTAAATGCTACAAGAAAGAAAGATCACCGCCATTACAGAGAACTGGTGCAGCTCAAAGTAGAATATGCAAAACACTTAGGCTTTCCGTTAAATTTAGTGAGACCGTAACCATTAGCTTTTCACACCATTAGAAACGAGGACAGGCTCCTATTTCTCCGTATCATTTATTGGAATGTCTTGTCTTTACATCACAATGGTAAAAAAAAAAAAAAATATTTTGAGTACTATTCATCCTGACTGCTGCAATAAGCAGGGGTAAGTTGACAAGTACATTAAAGAATTTCTACTTAATTATATGTCATAAAGTGAATTAATGCGAGTTTGTTGAAGAAATATAAAATCAGAGAATGGAAAAAATGGAAAAGATAAAGAGCTGAAGAATCACAAGAAAAATCTTCTGATCAGCAGCAAGAAAGGCTTGTGATGAGGCATCTTAAAACACTAGGATCAGAGAATGTTTAGAAAGGAAACAGGGAAGACAAGCTCTCTCACAGCAGCTTTTAGAAATCACCTGCAGCTGCAAATGTGTGTAAATCAGGCAACAATGAAGAAAATGAGAAAAATGAACTTTCAGCTGCATTTGGCTTAGAATTGTTTATGTTTTCTACAAAGAACAAAACATTCACAAAAATGTAGATTAATTGTGCCTTTTTTTAAAAGTACGTTTTGACAAAAAAATTTAATATAAAGGACTTGAGGCAGCCTCAGGAACTCTTCAACTTCGAGGCCCGGAAGAAATTGTGCTCTCAAATCCACGGAGGGCAGGATGACGCCGCAGGGTTTGGAAACGCATGTGGAGAATCTGGCTGGCACTGACAGCACGCTTCCAGTGCCAAAGATGTAACGCTGGGCCTCGGGCGGGAAAGTAACACTCGGCCTCAAACGTTAAGTCCACCTCACTAGAGAACACGGTGGCGTCGGGACGAGTCCGTTTGACTTCCAAACGGACACGAGGCGTTTGGAAGGAGCGAAGAACAGGCAACGCTAACCCTCAGCGACCACCCAACGCCACTCGGAGCGGGTGCACTCCTCCTCGGCGCATGTGGGCTGCAAAGCCAAAGAAGTTTGTCCAAACTATTGCCAAGTCTCGCGTGCCTGTGCGGAGGGAGAGGGGTGGTTCAAGCGCTGGATTCCGCCGCGGACGCCGCCTGGAACGCTGCCGCCCTCCGGCGGGCCGCCGCCCGACCCGCCCT